AAAGGCCCTGGCGTAAGTTACATGGGCATGTTTACCACGTGCTCAGGCCCGCAATTGCGCACGGTAGGCAACTGGATTACAGTTCAACCGCTGGCTCCATGCCTCAGTCTGCAAGACTCGAACCGAACATCCGCCACCCATACTTCGCCGTGCACAGATACCCAGCTCTGAACTTCCAAGCCAACCATTCCCATAAATCGGCTTCAAAACTTCGAGTCAAGATGGGCTGGCGAGGACGGGCCCGGGTTGGACAAGCTAAGGCGGAAATTGCACGTTGGGTGTGTGGTGACCCCACATGTCCCCCTCCGCCTCTTCAGCTACCGATTGCTGTGGCACAGCTGGACACAAAGACATGGCAGCGATCAAGATCTACGATCACAGGCAGTCGCTGAGCGATGGGTCTCGCTTGCAGCCAAAATCACCACAAGGTGACGATCGCTCATCCGAAACATCAAACCAACCCAACCACAAGTTTAGCATCATGCTGCGTTTCGGTCGCAAAGATTTGGAGGGCAACTTTGCTGCGCGGCGTTGCAAAAGTCAGCGAGCGATTTCCGCCGCTGGCGCTGCGCACCTCTGAGCCTGCAGTAGAGGTGCGCCGAGTCCCAAAGTGTAGCACATAGGTAACGAAACATCGATGCAAACATGAGGTACTACATGAACCGGTCCAAGGTCTGACCCAAAATTGTGTTTTGCCAGTGCTCAAAGCAGCCGGGACAAGACTAGTCAACATGATGCTTGCCGGAAGGGCGATGCGCAGGCAAATGCTGACGGCAAAAGCTCAAGGGTCGGCTGGTGACGAATCACATTCATCGGCTTGCAGCATCAACCTCTCAGCCTCCAGAAAGCCCCATCCGGGGACTGAGAGGTGTTTTTTGCGGGGAACGCATGCGTAAAGGACGCTTGCTTCCGGTTCTGACTCCAGTTGGACATATGCCCATCAGCGCCCGCCGAGGCGTCGATCTGCCTGCGTCCCAAAGGGTGCCATGACGGCATCAGGATGGCTATCGCACCATTCGCAACGCCGCCACCCGTCCTCCCGCGTGCCGCTCCCAGACTGCGCGAGGCTTTCTGCAGCCTCAGCCAAAGCAAACGTGTCAAAAATCAAGCAAAACAAACGTCGAAAACCCCGAGCATCGGACAGAGAGGGCTTCCAGGAACATCTGTCGAGCACGTCGCCGTTCCATCTCAGCCACATCCGGCGCTCAAACTTGGCCTCTACAGTATTGCATCGTGCCTCCAAGTGCTCAGGAGAGACGATGTCCTCTTTCGAGTGGGTGGCCTACCGCCGTTCCATCTGGCCACATCCGGCGCTCAAACTGAGCCTCTACGGGCTTGCATCTTGCCTCCGACTGCTCAGGAGAGACGATGTCCTCTTTCGAGTGGGTGGCCTGCCGCCGTTCCGTCTCGGCCACACACGTCTGCAGTCTTGCATCGTGCTTCCAACTGCTCGGGAGAAACGGTGGCCTCTTTCACCAGCGCAGCCTACGAAAGGTGCGAGGGAAGGGCACCTTTTGTTGGGGGAGAAAAACCTCTGAGACCCTCAGTTTGAGACCCTCTGTTTGCCGTCGAACGCTGCATCTCATGTCAGGCACACAACAGAATGAGACATAGAGCTGCATGCACGCACCTACGAAGACTGTAGGACTTGCTTAACCGAATCGGCTACCTGCCTCCTTTCTGCAGAAGAGGATCATGGGACTCCTGGACACACAGATGCTGCGAAACAGCAGCGAACTTAGACGTTCGCCGAAATACACTTGTCGGCATTCAGCAAGCTCTCCAGCAAATGTCGCTTGCAAAACCAAGAAGCATGAAGCACCGGTTCGACCGCTTTCGACGGCCCTCAATTTGAATCCACACTTCAGCCAACCTTCCGACAAGCATTCCGCGTGCAAACCAAGCGGCATAAAGCGCGGAACAAGCATCCCAACGAGCATTCCAACAGCTGTCCCAACAGGCATCCCAACAAGCGTTGAACAAAGAACTCCGCGAGGCATTCCATCAGCGATACACCAGGTCACCAGGTTCTACAACATTACCCACCCGTCAGCAAGCGATCACCCCAGCACTTGTCCCGAGTACAGACCAACAGGCACTCAGGACGGATTGCAACAAGCATTGAACAAGCATTCAACATGCACCAACGGTAATCCACGAGTGTGCAGTCAAGCACTGAGCAAAGCATTAGCAAGCATTCGACGAGCACAACAAGAAACTTCCAGCAATGATTCCAGCAAGCATTCCAGCAATAATTTAGCAAGCACTGCTCAGAAGCATGCCAACAAGCTATTGACACGCGAGCCATCTACAGCTCATCACGGATTGCAGCAAGCTTTTTAACGACTTGAAACACAGATTCCAACAAGCCTTCCAACAAGCAGTAACCATGCAATACAAGCATTCAACACACATTCCAACTAGACTTCCAATAACAAGCTTTCAAGTCTTCATTGCAAATTCCAACCAACATGCCCATCCCCACATTCCAAGAAGCACTGCAGCCAGCAAGATATCCAATAAACGCTGCCAAGCAAGCGTTCCAACAGTGCAACGAGCATCCCAACCAGCCGTAGCGTCACGTCTGAGGCGACGAATCCTTCACGGGCAACCCGATCTCCTGCAACACGAAAGCTTTGGCCACCGTACAACATGCTGCATACCGCAACTATCACGCCTGAAGCTCACGCAAAGAGGAGGCCATTGGCCCCGGATCTCCCGAGAAAATTTTCCGGCACCCCAGAGCCGGAGGCTTGGCCGTGCACAGCTTTACGCGGTCGCGCTGGAGTTGCCTTCGGATTATGCTGGGCCGAAAGGGCATCTAGACAGTCGAGATAGCACAGACGCAGGTTCACTTTTCACTCACCGCCGCGCTGAGTTCTGCCGGTGGATGGGGTCTGGGCACTGGTTCGGCTTGTTCGGAACAAAAGCATCAAACATTGGGCAACATTGACGCTTGCATTTGGGCATAAGACGGAGACGGCCCCGCTGCTTCGTAAGCATCTCATCTAACATGCGTCAGGATGCAGCCTTTTCAGAAATAGGGCACTGTTTAGGGAACTCCCGTTGGAATCTGGACAGGGAAACGCTGAACACCCGGGATTTGGGGCCACAGGCTGCCTGGCTGAGAATTTTCCACGAGAAGCGTTCGACAATGTTCGACATATACCAACGGAAACTTCCCTGTGCAGGCGACGCTGCAGTTCTACATGTAGATAAATGCTATATATATATATATATATATATATATACATATATATATATATATACATATACGTACATATAGATATACATATGTGTGTGTATATATATATATACATATATATATATATATATATATATATATTATATGTGTATGGATGCTGTGTGTATATGTGTAAAACCCAGTACGTCGGGCTTACGGTTTAAGGTTTAGTTTAGCGTTTCAGGTTGAAAAGAACCAGCACTGCCCGGAGTGAAAAGGTCCTGGTGCATGACTGGGCTCACCGCTCTTTGGCAGGAGAGCCATAGTCGAAGCATGAATCATCTGGCAGTTGGTCAAAAGACCTGTTCTCAAAGTTACCCACATGCCCTATGCGACCAACTTCCTACTGACTAGATGCATTTAAAACCGACATTCCCCGAAGGGCCTTAACATCAGGCCCCCATCTCCAACCCAAGCGCGAACAAGAGTCCGCAGCCCTCTACCCCCAAAGCGCAGCACCCGTAAGCCTGTATAAGGACCCTCTGCAAAGGGAGATTGGACCATGGCTCGGACATGCTAGTTCGAGTTCCGGAAGGACAAGAAAGTCAGGCGATTGAGGTGGTACTCAGGCTTAAGATTCAGGGTTCTGGGTCACAGGGTTCAGGGTCACTCAGTTCCCAGCTAGTCAGGGTCAAGAAAGGTGCCCCAGGCCGCCTCAGGTCAGAAGCTCTACTCAACCTTACTCGTTCAAATTGAGAGCTGCTTCGGAGCGTTGTCCTAGACCTACAGCTAGACCCTCACTCCCCCGTGCAAAATGTTCTATGCATCCCCTTTACACTACACTCTGGCCCTTATCAGAGGGCACTTGGGGACCCAGGTAGACTCACGGCCTCAAAAAGGAGCAGTGTGACGGTCCTCCAAGTGCAAAGCCAAACAAACAAGCGAAGCTCTAAGAGCATGTGGGCTCTTGACCGGTGGGGCCTGTGGGGTTCAAGAATTTAGGGTGGGGTCCCTCAGTTGTACTGTACAAGAGTCAGCTCAGCAGGGGGCGCACGATCGCTTGTTCCAGTTGCAGCTCAGTCTGCAGAGGGACCTGTTGGATGTTTGACTTTTGAAAGCATATATAATAATGAGTCAGCCTAGACAGGGGGCGCGCGATCGCCTCTTCCAGTTGTTGGGTCATTCTGCAGAGTCAGCTCAATCTGTTGCTTTTCGAGCACCTGAACAATGGCCAAGGCGTCTTGGGACCTGTTGGATTTTTGACTTTTACAGGAAATCCTGCTAAAGCCCGCTTCAGGCTTCAGTTATTCAGTGCTGAAACCCTTAATCACCTGAACTGACGACCTCAAGGCACCTAATCACAGGAGTGTGGAGGGCTTCGGGCCTCCGAGCTCTCCTTAAGCCTCCAACCAAGGCTAGGGCACAGAGGGTCTAAAGAGATTCCTATGGTGCACAGACACTCACATAGGGATTGTCGTAGCACACCGTAGACGACCCCAAACTTAGGTGGGGACCACACAAGATGACGGCACAACCGCATGTTCGGATGCAAACTCGAGGTCGTCATTCGGGTTGATCCAAGTTGAGGCCCTGTTGCGGCCACCTTCTTTTACCAAAGCCGCAGGTGAGTAACACCAAACATGGCCCAAGTAAAAGCCGCTCAGAGCGGGCCTCTAAATTCGAACTAGCTTAAATTCTTCCGCCAAGGCCTCGGCGCTCTGTAGCTGAATAATGACTCTTGAACACTGCTGGCAGGTTAAAATGCCCGTTTACGTCTGCAAGGGCTTCTGGGTGACGGGCATCGCAGCTTGCGGCGTCACTGGTTTTCAGCGGCATTGCTCCTGCTTCCGGCCTGAATGAAAGAACACTCGAGTCAATGCGGAGCTGACATGTCACGAAACACACGCCGCAGATATGCTGAGGCGACCAACGAAGAGGTAAAATCCACCAGCATACTTTTGTCGCGCTGGAGCCTGGAGCCAAAACGACATTAACAAAAGCATGTATCAAGCAGAATGACATCAGCCAACCACGAAGCACTCAGAGACTTGGCCACACTGACAATATCCCAAAACTGGATGCTGAAAGCAAGGGCTCCCTCACATCTGCTGGTCTTGCCGGTCCGGCTGGACTATGGAAACTGAACCACTGGGTACTCTGTGGAAAGGTAGCACAGTCGGAAGTTGCATCGTCACTCAGCCTGATCTGAGGCTTCGTCAGTTCCAGCCTGGCAAGGGGTGGTGTGGTTTTTTTTTGGCTCTTTCCGTACGTGTGCTGATCAGCGCAGCACGGATCACACGGGCTCGCAGACGAACCCTTTCACAGAACGTGCTGCCGCAACACTCTTTGCTTCAACTCCGAACCTTCCTGACGCAGCTTTTGTGCAGCAGTGGGCTCAGACGACCACTGGTGAACCTCTACGATGATCGTGGAGAGCGTCTGCTGCAGCATAGGGTTCTCATCCAGGAAGGTGGCAAAGCAACCTTGGCAGTCGATCGCCAGAGTGTCAAAGCCTGTGCCAAGCACCTCGATCATCTGAGCTGGCGAGATGACGCCCGACTTTGGGTCATCGATGTCCATCTGCTAGTCGCAAACACTCCGCCTCGTAGAAGGCCTTGGCCGGCAGTACGATCCAAAGAGGTACTAGCTGAGGATCAAACGCCCTGCATTGGTTTGGCGTTTTTGCAGGTCTTCCCGTCGAAAACAAAGCTGCGCCCGTCTAAGGCAGGCGGATTCACAGTGTTGCTGCCTCTCCCTCGGCAGCCTCCCAGGTTCGCATGTCGTCACTCAAGCGGCAGCTCCCTTGAAGGCAGCAGCATCACCTTTCACCAGAGCTGCAGTGAGCGCACGCCAGAACTCGATAACCTTGTAGGCTTCTTGACGGTGCCACTGCCGCGTCGCCCGGGAGACGTCCATCAACGCCTCGAGCGGCAACAGCCGCAACAACGCAATGAGGTGCGCTGCTGAATCGAAGTAGATGGTGTAGGGCAGCAAGGACATCTCGCTCCACTGGGACCAAAACAGCGTGCCGTCTAAGGGTTGCAAATCCCTGCGGTCTATGGTGAAAAGCTGGAACGGCGAGCGTCCAAAGGGTCCTGAGTGATCATCCCACTGCGACAACGCCTCGGCACATGGGCCGCCGTCGGGAAGGAAACCCCACGGGTCTCTGTAAAAGGACTCCGGCAGAGTGGGCATTGGCAGCTCCTCCACGTGGAGCTCGGCATCGGCATAGCATTCTCCTGGGGGGCGCGAGCGTGCGTCTGTGAACTTGGAGGCATTGCGGCCGGCGGGGCGCGCGATCATCTGTGACCAGCGGGTGGTCCATTTCCAGAGCTGCTTTGGCATGAGCATCGGCATCCCCATGGCCTTGAACTCAGCCAGCTTCAGGTGGGCGAAGTCGTACGGCGTAACGACGACACAGCGAAGCTGTGCAATCTGCGATTTTGGGGTCTCGTAATCGAGACCAATGCGCCCTTGCTCATTCTTGGCATACGCATTCAAGCCCCACTCCAGGAATTTCAGGTGCAAGCCGCTTGGATCTAGAATGACATTCTCTTCTGCGTAGCGGAAGAATACCGCGATTGCTTCATAGTCGATCGAGGTGGAGAAGAGAACAGAGTCTGGCTGAAGTGGCTGCCAAACATCTCGCACGGCCAAGGCAATTGGGCGACTGTGGGGAATCTTGCGACCGACAAGCCATTCGAATTGGCGGCTGAAGAAAGGAGCAAAGCCTACCAGAACGGCATTTCGGAATTCAGGGTCCGCGAACGCTCTCAAGTCGGCCACAAAATCATCCTCACCTTCTTCAGGCACTAAGAAGAAAGGCGGCTGGTCATAGACGGCGAGCATGGACTTTTTCTGGTTGGCCCGCAGCAGGTCCTCGAAAAGCGTGCACCAGAACAGCGGATGGCCACAAAGAAAGAGATCCACGTGGGAGTCCAGCCAGTTGTAGTACTTGGCAGCAAACTCCCTCTTCACATCCGCCCAATGTTCATGGCGGTGGTTGCGGTAAGCGCCTTCCCATTGGCCCTGGCTGTGATCATGAATCTCTTGCATGCCTATCAAGGAGAAGAGCTGCTCGTCCTGAGAGCAGTAGGGCATTCTCCAGTCTTTCTGCCTCGGTTTGGCGGCTTCCAAGGCCTCCTCAGAGCAAGCCCGACCCACGCCAGGACAGCATTCCGGAAAGCCCATGTAATGCGAATAGATCTTGACTGCGTCTGCCTCTGCGTCCGCTCCCGAAGCCGGCTGCCGCTGCCACCATTCATCGAGAAACGTCAAGATGTCACTAAAAGGGGGCACGTGCATTGCGAGAAAAAACGCTCGCAGGAGACTTTCTGGTTGCTTGGAGGCATGACTTCGGTAGGCCGGCGGCGGCCAAACCGGCGGGACCAAGTGTGACAGCGGATGGACAGGAGTTGGCTCTGTAGGAAGTGGTGCAAACGGCATTCCGGCATTCATGCGCTGTATATTCAGGTAGACACTCCAAGAGGTGATGGGCCAGCCAGAATGCTCAGTCCAATCCACCTGCCCCTTCTTGAGCAGTTGCGAAATCAATTGTAGGTACAAGGTCGCCTCGTTCCTATCCATGTTCAAGGCGTACCACCATGCAACGATGTAGAAGATGCTGATGTAACCGAAGAAACAGGACCATGTCTCTGGCTGCAGATGTTTGGGTTGCAGTGCCCGCTTTTTGATCCCATGAAAATCTCCGGCAAGATGCCAATTGCCGTTGTCGTGCCTGTGATAGACAGTTTGATCTTCGATCTCTTTTGCGACAGAGAAGAGATTCTCCAGCCAGGGATACTTTGGAAGGTCAGCAAGGGAGTCGGGAAATCTAGGAAGACCCTCCGGCATGTGCTGCATGGCAGCAATCATCTCAAGGCGTATCGCTGCCCACTTCCCGTCGAAGCTGCAGCTGAGAAAGTCGGGCACCACTATTTCCTCGACCATCGCTCGCGACTCTGCCTCCCACAACCGCAGAAGGCCTCCCATTTTGTCGGTCTCTTGGCCTTTCCCAAACGCATCTACGCGGCCTGCAGCCAGAGCCAGGAATACGAAGCAGACTGGAGCTCCGGCCACGTTGTGTCGCGGAGATTCCATGGCCACAGTGGCACAGTCACCACCAGCGCTTGCTCTGAAATCAACCCGCTACTCTCTCCCTCGCTCCACCCTGAAGGCTCCTGCTGCGGTGCTGAATCGGCACTGACCGCGCTACGAAGATCTGGAAACTGTCAGATGGTAGGCAACTGAGAGAACAACCAAAGTAAACTCAAAAAGCTGCTGCTGCCTTGCGACAGACGCTTAAAGGCTTTGCAGGCGACGTGACCGAACAACCTCAGGCCTCTGTAGCTCCGACAATTTCCTCATCACCCTGATGTTGTTCCGCAGCAACCCCGTACCAGAACTCTGCTAACCGCTTGCCACCCCCACCAAACTTCACCAACCGAAACCCCAAATAGCCAAACAAAGACCCTACCAGTACAGTGCGAGTACGAGTACCCACATCGGGGAGCCGGGCCCTGAGAGCAGAGAGAGGGCCTCCTCCGCAGCTGCCCCGATTGCCCCAGCGAATCTCGGAGAGGCCTCAGACCAGAGAGGGCGACAGCAAAGCGGCAGGCGGAAGGGTGGTGTGGGGGGGGGGGGGGGGGGCTTTGGGGGTTTTATGGCCTTCCCCTCAAGCTTGAAGTGTTCAGTTCATGGCTCTCTGCGAAGACCAGGTCGAATTGGAAGGACTCAGGGTTCAAGGGGGCTTCCGGCTGCGAGGTTCCGTGCTCACTTCGCACAGCTTAAAGCTTTCAGCTGAGGCACGCTGCGACGGCGGCGGTCAATCTTGGCCTTGGTACAACATACATGCACTGCCGGAGATATACAAGCCTGAAAACATCACTTCGGTGCGGGACCCTGGACCCAGGCGGATCCCACGACCTGGCCGACAAGACCGCACAAGGTCGGTCCTCTTCGCTAGCCGCCAGTCACGGGATACGCTTCATGGTGGACATGGAACAGATTCAGACAATTGCATTGCACCCACACACACAGAGACACATCCGAAGACTGTGTCGAATGGTCATGGCTGTGATTCTATGATGAAAAATCTGTGTTTATGCAAGACCTTTCGTGCCCTGTGGAGCCTGGTGGCAGGCAACCTCTCACCTTTCTCCACAAGGCGGATCGAATCATGGGCATTACTCCCATGCGAAGAGAAAGGCTATCTGCCACGGGCCACCCACACATGCAGTAGCAGTACGCATAGTTGGTGGAGATATGGGGTGAATGAAAGACACGTTTCTATGTGGAATCAGGGGGTGCTGGTTTGGGTGGTCCGGAGTTCAAAGGCTGTTCCTGCTTGGCCCGCCTACAAAATCGTGAGGGGTCGGGATGAAGAACCCGGACCGTCGCTGGTTGGCCACTCACCAGAAGTCCTTTCCGTAGTACTGGCGGGCGTGCTGATCAGACCAGAGCGGATCACACTGACTGGCACACGGCCCCTTGCACAGCACGTGCTGCCGCAACACTCTTTGCTTCAACTCCCAACCTTCTTGAAGCAGCTTCTGCACGGTACTCGGCTCAGACGACCACTGGTGAACCTCTACGATGATCGTGGAGAGCGTCTGCTGCAGCATAGGGTTGTCATCCAGGAAGGTGGCAAAGCAACCTTGGCAGTCGATCGCCAGAGTGTCAAAGCCTGTGCCAAGTGACTCAATCGAATGGGCCGGCGAGATGACTCCCGACCGCGGGTCATCGATGTCTACAGCCATATTCCCGTAGCCGTGGATGTCACTTTTTGCGTAGTCGGGTGTGATGACCTTGAGGCTGCGAGGCCCAAGCACACCACGCACAACCTCGCAGCGGAGCAAGGGGCGTGCCTACGCAAGAGCTCAACAACAGCAACACAGTTCGGAAAACCTCCCTGACATCCTGCCCGCCTTCGAAAACCTTGTTTGCTTTGCGGAGAGCTCAGGAGCAAGAGATCGAGCAAGAGCGGGAGCAACAGCCAGCGCAGGAGCAAGGGCATGAACAAGATTCCCTCAAAAATGACAGCAGAGATAGAAGCACCGAAGCACCGAAGCACGTCCCGCTCCCGCTCCTGCCTCGCTCCGGCAGTGGTGCTCCGCCAAATTTCTTTCCAGGACATCCCACACGTTGGGGTCAGCCTGTCAGCTAGATCGCAAGTTTGGGGCCCCCTTTCAAAGGTTTGGGGGTCTGGGCTGCAGAGCTCGCCTCCACGGAGAAAAGCGTGGAGTTCTCGCCGGTGAGCACTTTTGAAAGCAGGCACGAGGTCTGGCCGTAGCGCGCCCCCACGTGCAGGACGGAAGCTCCAGGTCGCACCCACGTTGCATACATGAGACGGGATGCGTGCTCCACCGTGCAGTTGAAATGGGCTCCGGCTTCCGTTTTGAAGCTACAGTCGTCCCCCACCAGTGCAGAGCAGTCCCGCGGATAGAGCTTGCTTTCAATCTGAAGCAGGGAAGCGCAGTCTTGTTCGTCAGCCGGAGCTCCCCAGCCGCAGAACATGACGCAGAATGCCAGCAGCTTTCGAAGCGGAGAAGAGAGCATGGCTGGAGTGTGTTTGAGTAGGCCGGTACGGTACAGTATACGTTTTTGTTTCGGGGCCCTGGCCCCCTGAGAGCCTGAGAGCTTGAGCCTCGAGAGCGGTGAAAGCCAAGCGCGCCAGATCTCCGAAGCGAGAAGACAAGAAGACAAAACCCCCCCCCCCTGGTTCTCTGCTCCTTCTGCCCCATAGTAGACTCCTATGACTCCCAGAGTCTATGAAAGCCAAACCGGCCCCGGCTGGGCAGGGCCCCCAAGGCCCCCAAAGCCGCCGGAGGCTCCGGCTGGGAGCGCCTCTGCCAGGCAGCGGAAGACCAAAAAACACCCCACCCCACCACCACTGCACTGCACCCTCTCCCACCACCTCCCCTCCCCTCCCCTCTCCTCCGCTCTCCTCTTCTCTTCTCTCCTCAGCTCCGTCCCTTCCGTCTCTTCCCTGAGAATAGATTCTGCATTCCTACGGTGCGGGACAGGCGCAAGAAGCCCATTTCTGAATGCCCGCCCCCCCCCCCCATCCAAGATTACCAATTGTCAACAAACGCGCCGCGGCACCAACCCAACATGCCTCCCAAAAAAACTCAGGCTCGCGTGAAAACCTCGCCTTGCGCGGCCGCGGTTGGTGTGGGGCAGAGAGCCTTCGAAGCACAGAAGTGTCGGGATTGCCGGTTCCAAGTGCAGGTGGAGTCAACAGCACTGAACGCTTCAAGGAAGTGCATGGGCATTGGAGGACGGCTAGTTTCATCTCAAGGCTGTCTGCGCAAGCGAGCCCTTCGAACCCAGCGTCTCTGCGCGGCAGGGGGCCGGGGCCCGCGGCCAAGGCCGCCGCCAGGAAGAGGGCGACTCTTGAAGGACAGCCATCCTGGATGCCGGGCCTCTTGTGGCTGTAGCACCTCCTAACTCGTCTCTTGTGAGACGTTGAACAACAGTTTCGGGCCGAAGACCTCAACCGCGGCACGACAGCACCACTTCGTCCATGTCATCGTGCCATTCTGAAGCTCAAAGGTGTCGTGGTCTTCCTCGGCGCGCTTCCCATCAAAGCTGGGACACAGTCGTACTTGAGCCAGTGGGACAGCCAGCAGGGGCTGCCCTTTCCAACCGCGTCTCCCTTGAGAGCCACGTTCGCCAGGGACGGGCAAGTTTCGTTCAGGTGGATGGTGGCGAAGATGAAGGAGCTGCCAGGCTTTGGGAAAGAATCCAATCGAGCGGCTGAGCTTCTTCCAGGCTACTTACTTGAAGCGACTGCGCTGGCATTGCCTACAGGGCCTCCTCTCGATGCCAGCAACGGGGCAAGGAGTGAGAGTGACAAGTAAAGAGCATGACTCGCATGGAAAGGCAACATGTGGCAAGGTCGCCCAACTACACATGAACGGTTCGGCTTCGAGCTATCGCGAACCGAGGGAACCGAGATATTCAATTTTGCTGTCAAGTACCGCGAAGCTAATGTACTGCTGTTTGTGCTTGAAATACGCTGTACCAAGAACGGGAGAGTCTCTCCCATGAGATGACCGTTTGTGTAGGGCATGCAAGGAAAGCAACGACAACTACTGCGTCTACACTTGGAGAGTAGAATAAGGTGTAGGTAGGTCTTAGGGTTACGAAACGGTTCAGGGCTGGCGTTTGAGGTGTGGAGCATGCGGATTCGCCCAAGAAATCCAGAGAAACTAACAACTGTCGTTTATCACTTGTTCCGGGGATTCTCTTGCAATGCTTGTCAAACGCTGCGGCATCAACCCTGAATGATACTTGTAACAGTCTATAACCTGAAAGGCAAGCTCCGGCAGCCTTCGTTGCCATTTGCTGCTCGTCACATTGGGGGCGGGAGGAAAGCCGGCGACCCTCAAAACGCGAAACTTGACAGGGAACCTTTTGAACGTTTCCCGGTGTGTGTGTGCGCCGTGGATCGCCCACTGAGCTCAAGGGACTTTGCCCGAGGTGACGTCACGTGGCAGCTCCCAACGGAGGGGTGGCCTCCTACCTGTAAGAGGGTCTTCGCGGGGGCCTGACTCGGAACGACACACCCAAAAGCGTCGAGGAGCTGCCTCACGATGGCCGCGTCTTGCAGCCTCCGAAACTCTCCCGGTCCTACAAAAGTTCAGTGGAGCCGAGTCCGGTGGCGCTCGGTGACTCAGCGCCTTGGGCCCACGGTCAGAGCGGGTGCACTCCCAACGGGCACTTGATGCACTCGTAGCGGAAGCACCAGTAGTTCCAGAGGCCCAGGATGCGGCCTTTCGCGCATCGCTTGCCGCAGGGGCCTCAGCAGGGGTACTCTCGAAGGCTGAACCGAAGACTAAGAAGAACCAACAGTTTGCCGAAGCCGTTCTAAGTTCATGAGCAGGGCGCAGTGGACGGGGCTGATGGAGGGCAGATTCCAGTTTGAATGGTACCTCTGCCCCAGCACCACCGGGTGACGGGGACTCGGACTGGGGGCGCTTGCCAGGGTGGCCGCCCCGGCACCTCCGAACTCGGCGTGCTTCGGCTTTGCCTCGGCAGGGGCAGCCTCCTTCAAAGCTTCCTGGATATAGGGATCAGAGAGATCTGAGCCTCTACAGTATAGCAGGACTCTCCTGACACATACAGCTCTCGTTTTTGAAGGTCAACTCTCAGCTCTCTGCCCTCTGCCTGCCTTTTCCCCAAGCCTGGGCCCCGGGCCCTCGGCCTCCGCAGCCTTCTTCTCGGCGCCGATCCTCTTCGGCTCATCCAGGGCCTTCACCCCCAGGGCCTCGGGTGCCAGGGCGTCGATCCGCTCCAGCGCCTGAAGCTCCGCTTTCGCCTCCTCCGGCTCCTCTGAGGAGACTTCTTCGAGGGCTTCGCTCCTCCGCCGCTCCTCCTTCTCCAGACGGCTCTGGCTCTGACGGCTCTCAAAGGCCGTGAGGTCCACGGCCTGCTTCTCGCTGGACCAGTACCTGTTCCGGTGCACGAAGAGGTAGCCCAAAAGCGGGTCGTCCTTGCAGGGGAGGAGGCTCTCCTGGGAACCCAGGCTCTCCATGCCCGGGATCTCCATGACCATCTCGCTGCCAAGCACGGCCCCGTCCTCGTCCTCGAGGCCTCGAATCTCTTTCTCCCGGAGCAGCGACCGGAGCTTCCCCAGGTTGATCTTCTCTCGGCCCTCGTAGCATTTGCCGATGGGGCCCTCGGACAAATAGACCAGAGATCCGAGGTTTTGCTGCATGGTCTGCAGGAGCACTCCGTAGGTTGCGATCAGCCCTTTCGTCCTGCCCAAAACGTCTTCCTTGCAAATCTGTGCAGGAACGCAGTTCGCAGCGTACTCATTGTCGGCGAACTCCATGTTCGCAAAGATGGCGACGTAGGCACAGCCTGCTTTGGCCTTCTGGCCCCTGTCTGTCTCAGGAACCGGCGCGCAGGCCGAGGAGTTGAACAAGACCTCGGCTATCTCCTTCGTGGCGCCGTAGAGCGTGTTGCTGTTAATGGAGCTCTGCACCTCCAGGGCCTTCCCTCTCTGTTCTCCGCAGCAGGCGCCGAGCAGCTGCAGGCCACCCAGCGCAGGCGCAGGCCTCGGCCCCGGCTGGAGGCCTCTTAGGTGCTCTGCCAGGGAGGCGTTTTCACCCGGCCCCGGCCCGCCAGCGCCGCCTTCGAAGGTCACGGCCACGCGGGCCCAGGCGCAGGCACACGCCAGGAGGTTTACGAAGAACAGGACCAGCAGGGAGAGCGACATTGGGCCTACAGCTCGGACTGAGAAGCCGTCGCAGCAGGGAAGGCACCGGAGAGAACGAGGGAGACGCAGATGTGCAGCCTACACAGCCCCCGACACATGACAAATCGCTTCGCTTCACGCAGCCTAGCCGCCCTCACAGAGCTGAGCATCACACCTTTGAGGCGCAGCACAGGCAAAGTGCTCCTCGAAAGTGCAGCCATCGCAAAGAGTCGCGAGCACGGCACAAAGCCTACAAGAAAACCAAGTAGCAGGAAGTGCGAATCCCACCTGTTACAAGTACTCCGTAACCATGAAGCACAAACACTCTTCTGAAGACAGCACCCCGAGTCTTCAAGAGCATTCGGTGCCTGCGGTTGCATCGAGGCCCAAAGCCTTAGTGCTGCGCAGACTGACTGTTGTTTGGAGTTGTTGTCACGCAGCAGCCACCAAAATTGTTTCTGAAAAAGAGCTGACAGCACTAGTCAGAGCCGAGTGCTTCAAACCAGCAGCTGCGCTGCAATCATTAGGTCGAAAAACAACATTCGGGAAGGAAAATGTTGCAATGCAACTTGCATCACGACTGAGTCCGAGTCGGTTGCAATCGCGACAGGATTGGGCCAAGCACCACCACCTGCAGACTTGCACTGATTGATGCTGACCCTGGCTCTGCCTCTGCGCAGGCGACCTTGAACTACTTTGAGGTCGAGTAAGGGCGTCTTACGGCAAGGTAGACGACTATCATAACGGCACTTTCACGGAGCATTCAAAGATGATGCCGCTGGGGCAAGAGCCATGCCTGAAATCGGATGTGAAGTGTCTGTCCGCACTTCGAAAGCAGCTTCTTCGTACTCCTTAGAGTCTTAGAGCGTTGAGGTCTTGAAGTCTCGGAACTGAGGAACAAATGTGCCTGCGGAGACAGCTGCCGATTGCTTTGCAGCGTCAGCTGCCGTCGCAGTGAACGTCTTGGGCACAAAAAACAACTTGCATGAGTTTCCGATCATCGGAATGAAGAACGCCTCGGAGGCAAAGCTAAGAGCTCAGAACCACAATCACAACTCCCAACTCAAACAGAGACGTAGTCTTCTTCTGGTGCGGGTGCCGGCTCTTCCTGACTCTCCGACTCCTGCACATGAGGAGCCTCGGAACCGAAAGGACTCCGGGCAAAGAGCAAGCGAACCAGCATGCGGCCCAGCACCGACACACGCGAGGTGCGTGCCGGCCCGGCGAAGGCCACAAGGATGATCGAAGGGCAAACGACGCCGTGCAAGAAGGCATCGTACCATTTGCCACCGATGAGTCCTAGAAATCCTGGAATGAAAACCAGCAGGAGGACTTGTGTTCTCTCTGCGAAAGGCCGCCGGTCTCGGGGCAGCAGTTGGAAGCCAAAAAAGACGACGAGAGCTTCAGCTGCAGCAACAGGAGGTATCCATTGAAAACCTGGCTCGGTCCGCCACAGAGCCGTGTTGAAGGCCTGCGCCACGTAGAGGGTAAGGCATGCAGCAAAGATGCTGCGGCTCCAGTTTGAGGCGTTTCCCAAAGATCCGGCGTATGCCGTGGCCTTTCGCAACTCTGGAGTCGACAGGTTCATGCGCAGAAGCACCGCCACGGCCTCGTCCACAGCCTTTTCGGAGCCGCTTCGCTCGATAAGGCTGCGAATCCGCAGACCATCGAGCGGGTTCCTTCACGGGCCAGGAACATTCGTGGAAACACGCAGGTTCAAACTTTCACATTCTTTCGTCTGTGTCTCGTTGCGTCTGTGTGTTTGTTTTCGGGTGTGCTGCTACCTAAGACTGAAACCTCACCAGCAACAAGTATCAAGTAATGCCTAGGCTCGTTGTGGTGGCATCTCGAATCCTCCCAGTGAAGCCCTGTCTCAGTTGCCTGGCTTGTTTCGCAGCTTCGATGCCGAGCAGACGATCGCACTCCCCCGCCCAGAAACAGAACGGAGCCATGAAGAAAGGCACGAAGTAGGGTGGCCTCCGGAAAGATGTCTGGAAGATGTTCGTTGCCGAGTAGCCTGCAAAACACGCACTGCAGGCATAGACTGCCACTGCGGTGACCTTCCAGTGATGTCTTCCCGTCGACATCAAACAAACAAAAGACAGACCACTCATCGCAGTCAGCACTCCGAAAGCGTAGGCAACGAAAGCGATCTGCTCCGGACTCCACAGCGCCCATTTTCTGTTTCCGTGCATCAACACGCAGAAGAAAACGCCCAGCGTCAGCAGGGACCAACTTGCCGCCCGCAAGGAAAGTGGCCAGAAGTTCGGTGGCGGAGACGTGGCCGTAAAGATTGACTTGCCCCAGGTGTACGCCAGATAAGCCTCGAAAGTGCACCAAGCGCGAGTGTAGATGCTCTGCTTGTGGTTCGGGGCCGCCAGCACCTGCGATGCCGACTGAAGCGCCTTGGCGAAGGGCGACTCCTCTGGGCTTTGGACCATCTCGCCAATGTCCAGGTTCTGCGGGTTGGAAAGAAAGCAGACGTACGCAGCTTTGGCACCGAAAGGCCAGGAGTTGATGATCTGGTCGACGAACTCAAAGACGCCCTCGGCCCAGCCGTGCGTGATGAAGAGATCGCACTCTAAGCCTTCCGGATGGAGCATCAGGGCCCAGCTGGGACTGCCGGCTAAAGCGGTCACTGGCTTGATGTACTGCATGTTCACCGTGTACATGGAGGGCCCGATGAAGCTGTCCGAGATGTCAAACGGATCTTGGTCCGTAGGCTTGATCACCCCGTTTGCGACCGCGTGACGAATCAGGCGCCGGAACTGTCTGAGATCCTCAAGGGTCACACACCACATGTGTTTCTCGACGGTTCTGTGAAGGCTCGCGCCGTCGCTTTGAAGCATCTTCCCCTCTGCAATGGAAAGGTCTTCGCTTCTGAGGGGTTCGAGGCCCTTCGTGTAGCGGATGGCGAGCGTGGATGCAGCCACACCAACGATGCCGAGGATCAGCAACAAGACAGAGAGGATGGACACATAGCCGTCCTCGCCACAAGTTGTGTAGCCGTCGTTGCTGTCGCCTAAACAACACGTGAACTCATATCCACGGCCGGTGCTGGGGGACCAGCCCTCTTTTCCGACAGGGTAGTAGCCCTCCAGGCAACGGCAAGGGTCGGCAGGTCTTCCCGCCACGCAGTTCCCCACCCCTGTACCGCTATGACAAGCCCAAGGTGCTTCAGTGCCGCTCGGACACAGCGCAGCTGAGGTAAGGCGGATGCACAAAGCCGCAGCAAGGAGCCGCTTTAAAGGACAGCCGCCCATCGGAATCCTGTCCTCTCCTCTCTCTGTCCCACTGGGCCAACCATGTCACTGACGAGCCGAGCCTCAACCGACACCCTGGTGGGAAAGGCAGTGCAAAGACTTCCCTTGCCTACACTGAACTTCCGAGAACAAGCAAGCTTCAAAATGAAGGCTCGGTGACCATCCAATCGCCTTTCGCACATCTCATGCAAACTGTGCACAAGTGGGCATCATTCAACTGCAATCTGGCATTGCATTCCTAGCATGGATTCGTGCTGGAGGACGAAGCTTTGACCCCGTCGTGCTGTCCGCTGCGAGTTGACACGAGGTCTGACCGGAACTGGAGAAGCAAACTGTGACTTCGCTGCGAATGCGCAGACTGTGTGAAGCTCTGCAGAAGAAGCAGACCGCAGTCTTTTTCGCAATCACGTGATTGGGGTCTGCTCCTATGGAAACCCTTTATAGCCGTTGAAGGATGAGCATGTGAACTGAGCTTGCAGCAGGGCCTTCACTGGATGAGAAGTTCTCAAAAGCGGTGGAACCTCGCGGAAGCCGTGCCCTTGTTGTGCAGTAGAAGTAGAAGGAAAAGCGTTGTTGTTGATGGTGGTGGTGGTGGTAGTTGTGTTGTTGCTGTTGTTGTTGCTGCTCCGGCTGCTGCTGCTGCTGCTCCGGCTTCTGCTCCTGCTGTGCTGGTGTTATTGTTGTTGTTGCCGCTGATGCCGCTCGTCCTTGCAATTTCGCTGTTGTTCAAGCTGGAATGTCTGGTTGTGTATCAACTTCTCGAACTCCGTTTACTTCTTATGTCTTCCAAAACTGGTGTCTTCGAGGCTGCTTCTCGATCTCTCTCTCTCTCTCTCTCTCTCTCTATCTCTCTTTCTCTATCTCTTTCCATTTCCTGCGCTCCTGTTGTTGATTGCATTGCTTGCGTTCGTGGTGTTTTCTTATATGTCTTGCATCCAGTGATCGTGACCATGCCGTTCGGCTTTCAATTCGGTGTGTTCTCGTACTCTTTGATTTTGTTTGGTTTGAAAGAATTTTGAACATTTCATCTTACTTGTCTTCGCATGTGTGGCTCCTCATTCGTTTTCATTGCTCTGATTCTTTCTTTCCTTCGCTGGTTTCAAAATATATAACTACTGCGCAAAACCGGATAGATTTGATGCGTTTGAAATGGATTTGGACGTGTGCTGGGTTGTAGTTTGGAAACAACATTCAATTTTTGGGATGGCGGATTTTGCGGTTTTGGCATGTAGGGCTTGGGTCTAGAAGGTTTGTATTGATATTTGAGCGCTTTTCTTGTGATCTTTTGCTTTCGATTTTGTTGCAATGTTTCGCCCGATGTTTTCATACGTTCTGTGTCTCCCTCGTGCCATTCGTCCGGAAGTTCATTTTAAACCGAAGTCCGACAGGGTGTACTGCTCTTGGGGAAGTGGAGATCGTATGAAATCAATACGGGTTAAAGGGTATCGATGAAAAAGGTACTCCGTCGCTATTTTGGAAGAATGCACATGTTGAAAGAACACACACATCGAGGCATTGCAAAACAAGAACCCACTGGGCAGACATGGCTGTGAGCGCAAGTGCATGTGTGTAGGAGGCCATTCACAAAGGTAAGGGTGGGATTGAATCCGTTGAGCCGATGCGGGTAGTGCGGTACGTGGTCTGGGTTTCCGGTAAACCACAGTGGCTTCTCGAGGCATCAGCAGCCACGGCGCGGCAGTGAAGTGCGTGAGCAGCCGTCAGGTCTCGCAAAGGCAAGGGTGTGAAGGACATCACTCTCATCTGCGGGGGGTGGGAGTATTGGGGCTAGTTAGCCTAGTACTGGCTCCCCAAAAACCCCACTGGGCAGGCACGGCTGTGAGTGGAAGCGCGTGCGCCGAAACGGCGTGTGGTGCAGATTTCGCAACTGATGAGACGGGCGGGCTGTTGGTGCAAGCCCACCTGGATATGGTGGTACGTGGTTGCGTATGCTAGTATAGTGCTGGCCTCCCGTGTAAGGAACCCACTGGGCAGACACGACCGAGTGCAAGTGCGTGCATAGGAGCGTACATGTTTGGGTACAGCTTTCGCAAAGGCAAGGGTGGAAAGAAATCCGCTGATCAGACGGCCGGGCTGTGAACACAAGCCCATGTGGATATGACAGGTTGTGTTTACGTATGCTACGACCGCTCTGAAAGGAACCCAGTGGGCAGACACGCCTGTGAGGTTTCGTTACAGATGATCTGGCAAAGGCGCCAGTGTGGGAAGGAACCGGCTGATCAGGCGGGGGGCCCGTGAGGCCCGTGCGCATATGGTGGTACGTGTTCTAGAGTCTAGAAGCCCCGTAAGCCGGTACCTTCCCCAAGGAACCGGCAAACACGGCTGTGAGCGCAACGTGTTACCGTATTCTAGTACTGGCATCACCAGGCATCCACTGGCACGGCGGAATCCGCTGATCAGACGTGCAAGTGCGTGTGTGTAAAAGGGCCATTCGCAAAGGGAAGGGTGAGTGGTCTGGGTTTCCCGTAAACCACAGTGGCTTCCCGAGGCATCAGCAGACGTGAAGTGCGTGAGCAGCCGTCAGTCTCGTAAAGGCAAGGGCGCGAAGGACATCACTCTCATCTGCGGGGGGTGGGAGTATTGGGGCTAGTTGGCCTAGTACTGGCTCCCCCAAAACCCCGCTGGGCAGACACGGCTGTGAGTGGAAGCGCGTGCGCCGAAACGGCGTGTGGTGCAGATTTCGCAACTGATGAGACGGGCGGGCTGTTGGTGCAAGCCCACCTGGATATGGTGGTACGTGGTTGCGTATGCTAGTATAGTGCTGGCCTCCCGTGTAAGGAACCCACTGGGCAGACACGACTCTGAGTGCAAGTGCGTGCATAGGAGCGTACATGCTGTGGTACAGATTGAGAAATCCGCTGATCAAACGGCCGGGCTGTGAAAACAAGCCCATGTGGATGTGACAGGTTCTGTTGACGTGTGCTACGACCGCTCTGAAAGGAACCCAGTGGGCAGACACGCCTGTGAGGTTTCGTTACAGATGATTTGGCAAAGGCGACGGTGTGGGAAGGAATGGATCAGGCGGGGGGCCCGTGAGCGCAAGCCCACAAATTAAAAAGAGTATACCCCGACCGTGACCGAAACCCTGAAATACGAAGTCCCAATCCCTAAAAGGAATAACCGGCGCCCGAAACCCGAAAAAGGAGTAAACCCAGGCCGAAGCCTTAAAAGGAGTAAGCTTTTGAGTAAGCCCAGTCCGAAACCCGAATCCCTAAAAGGAATAAACGGAGCCCGAAACCCTAAAAGGTTTAAACCCAAGCCGAAGGCGGAAAAGGAGTAAACCCAGACCGAAACCCGAATGAAAGAACACAGGAATAAACCCAGGCCGAAGCCTCAAAAGGGGCAAACCCAGACCGAAACCTTAAGATGAGAATGCCCGATCCCTAAAAAGAGTAAAGGGCCCCGGAACCCTAAAAAGAGCAAACCCAAAGGCCGAAGCCCCAAAAGGAGTAAATCCAGACTGAATCCGTAATGACAGAAAGCCCAAAGCGAAAGTGGAGTAAACCGTCCCCGATACTTTGAAAGAAGCGAAAGGTACGCTTGAAAGAAAGGCGAAACCTTAAGAACGATCAAACCCAGGCCGAACCTGCAAGAAACGAAAGGCATGCTTGAAAGCAAGCCGAAACCCACAACGATGAAACCCAGGCGCCTGAACAGAGTAAGCCCAGACCGAAACCCTAGTGAAAGAAGCCCCACAGCGAAAACATGGTACAACGACCCCGATACCCTAAAAGAAGTGACAAGTAAGCTTGAAAGAAATCGAAACCTTGAAAACGATGAAGCCCAGACCGACACCATAAAACGAGTCAGACTTGACCGAAGCCCTAAAAGGAGTAAACCCAGGCCGAAGCCGCAAAAAAGGATTGAACCGTGACCGAAACCCCTAAAAACGACGTCCCAATTCCGAGAAGGAATTAACGGAGCCCGAAACCCCGAAAAGGAGTAGACCCAGGCCGAGGCCCCAAACGGAGTAAACCCAGACCGAAGCCCGAATCCCTAAAAGGAATAAACAGAGCCCGAAACCCTAGCAGGAGTAAACCCAGGCCGAAGCCATAAAAGGAGTAAATCGAGACCGAAACCCGAATGAAACAACAGAGGAGCAAACTAAAAAGAGTATACCCCAACCGAAACATTAAAACAAGAAGGCCCGATCCCTCAAAGGAGCAAGCGGAGCCCGAAACCCTAAAAGGAGTAAACCCGGGCCGAAGGCGGAAATGGAATAAACCCAGACCGAAACTCGGATGAAAGAACACAGGAGCACACCCAGGCCGAAGCCCCAAAAGGAGTAAACACAGACCGACAGCCCAGGGCTGGCCAAAAAGGGGTTAAAAGGGCTTTCGCGCGAGACTGTTGTTTCGAAAGAAGTAAAAAGACACCAGTGACCCAGAAAAGAAAGGCACAAGCGACCCAGGAAAAAAAGACACAAGTGACCCCAAAATTGAAGACAGAAGTGATTGGGCACCCCTGGGGTAAAAAACCCGTATTGATTTTCCTTCTCAACATTCCAATAAAGCACTGAACTCCAGACCTCTTGTGGCACGCTTACTCTGTTGAAACTCTGGGAAAAATTTACTGGAACGACAACAGATACTCTTCCAAAGCGGCGACGGAGGCCGTTTCCACCTGGGGTTAAAAAGCCGTATTGATTTTTTTTATTAGACTTCCGGTACGTGTATTGCTGAACACCTATTTTGTTAAAACCCGAGAAAGTTCCAGGACGGAAAACATGTATCGACAAGAAGAAGGACGCTAGTTGAATGTAAGATGCCCGGGACTACGATATTTCAAATTGAACAGTGCCGTATACTTCCCGAAAGGTGCCTAGAGGGACATTTTGGAACTTCGGAGGCCGTTAGTAGCATACGGCCACACAAACGTCAACACAGACGGGCGTATCACACCGCTCGTGTTCACAAGTCCCCACGTCTGATCAGCGGGTTCCGCCGTGCCAGTGGATGCCTGGTGATGCCAGTACTAGAATACGGTAACACGTTGCGCTCACAGCCGCGTTTGCCGGTTCCTTGGGGAAGGTACCGGCTTACGGGGCTTCTTACTCTAGAACACGTACCACCATATGCGCACGGGCCTCACGGACCCCCCGCCTGATCAGCCGGTTCCTTCCCACACTGTCGCCTTGGCCAGATCATCTGTAACGAAACCTCACAGGCGTGTCTGCCCACTGGGTTCGTTGGAGAGCGGTCGCCTGTCACATCCACATGGGCTTGTTTTCACAGCCCGGCCGTTTGATCAGCGGATTTCTCAATCTGTACCACAGCATGTACGCTCCTATGCACGCACTTGCACTCAGAGTCGTGTCTGCCCAGTGGGTTCCTTACACGGGAGGCCAGCACTATACTAGCATACGCAACCACGTACCACCATATCCAGGTGGGCTTGCACCAACAGCCCGCCCGTCTCATCAGTTGCGAAATCTGCACCACACGCCGTTTCGGCGCACGCGCTTCCACTCACAGCCGCGTCTGCCCAGTGGGGTTTTTGGGGA